TCAAGGAATAGCAGAAGCATATTTAAGCGTAAGAAAACTAAAACATTGAAAATGATCAATCTCTCCCTGATGTCCACCAGCACTGTTAAATCAGCCAAAAATATGAAGAAAAACATGGAGTTCGTGAGAAAACAATTCACAATTCATTGTCACATAATGAAAGTTTAAAAGAAACTAGTTAGCATGTTGTTGTCTTTGTAAACATACACAACATAAACTTTCTCCAACCCAATAAGGTATCCCAAGGTTGCCAAAATTTGAAATCTTGAAGGTCGAACATACTCCAGATTCTTCACTTAGTTTCAAAATCCTCTATCCAACTTCAAATTACATGCATTGAAATGAGTAATTGAGTATTATAGACGAAGTACAAAACAAAGTCACTCGAAGTGAAGAAAAACATAATCCAGTAAAAATGGTACCCATGTCACAAAGCTTTACGTGATTCTCCAAAGGTGATCAGCGAAGATAATAGACCAGCATATGGAAGCCTCTCTGGTGAACAGACAGCATTCGTCTGCTGTTGCAACCAATCATGTGGCATATGTTTTAACAGGGTTACTTTTTCTATGATCTGCGGTCCACAGACCTCCAAAATCTCCGGGAACCTTTTTAAATTCTGATGTTAGACTCGATGAAATGTAATATAAACAAAGTGTCAAAAAAGTTTTTTAAAAAAAAAACAAACAAACCTTTGACTACTTCTTTTATGTCTCCTGAAGCCAAATTTAGAATCCATCTCTAATAAGCACTAAAAGTTCATTCCTAATAACATGATGATGAATGAAAAAATAAGTGAAACACATTTCACTCAAATGGAATACCACTTAAAATTTAAAGACAAGTGACCACGGATTATTGGTTAGGAAACAATAGCACTTGAAGGGTTTGTTTTGGCTTGGGTATATAATGAAGAGACTATCGTCAATGGATTTTATCAGACGCCAAGGAAACATTAGTGATTGTAAATCAAATTCTTCAGACCTTGTATTACTTCTCAAATCTAGACTCAGCATGATCCAAGACCAAAATTGATTACTCTTATTAGTATCGCCCACTGGATAGAGGGTTTCTAAAACCAGCCTCCCCATATCAGCTTTCCTGATGGCATGATTCTTATAGATAGAGACCCACACACTTAAACTGGAATTTAAATATAATAGTACAGCCGCGCGGTAACCGTATAGAGGAGGAAACTTCCAACTCATATAGAGGTGACAGCAGAACGCAACAAAGAATCCAGGACAGTAACTTATGTTGTGGAACCAGGTGATATGGAGAATGATACTGCAATGGTGCGACATGGTTACCACTTCTATAAAATCTTCAGGGGCTTATTGTGAGATCCCATTTTTAGCTTCCACCAACGCTCTGATAGCCGTGCATTTTTCCATAACAGAAAGGCAGAAGCAGCTTTTAGATTGATTGCAATTGAGCTCAACTTTGTATATGAAGCTCTCTTCACCAAGGCTGTTGTGGTGCATTCTACGGGCTATATCCTTCACTGCGGTTTCCATAGCCCTTGGCTTCATCTATAAACTAGAGAAACATGATTACCATAAGTTCGATGTTCGAATTACCTATACCCTGCTTTTTGGTACTTTAGGCCTGGATTCAATAGCTCTTTTCATGCTTATATTCTCTGATTGGACTGTCGCAGCTCCGCAAAATCTTCGCAAAAATATTTTGTCGCTACTATTCTAAAAAAGGTACCTCAGTTTCATGCTTATAGTCTCATCATCAGGCAGTTTTTTCAGAGCATCTCATCCCTGTCCTTGGTAATTCCTTGATAACAAAGGAAACAAAGTTTTCGCCAATAACTTCTTACAAAATTTCTGATTTCATGTAATTCAGAGATTATCCCCAAAATTTGTCCTGAACACTAGCCTATTGGCAGTGAGACTCACAAGTGTATTCCCATAACAGACACAATTAATGGTTTCAATGTGTCCACAGCACATTGTTTACTTACTCCAATTTCTGTCACAAACTAACAAGAGGAACACCTGACGGATGAAGCTCCATATGGATACATCAGCAACACTGCACAACTACCACATTTAACTTGTCCAACCTGATCAGCTGATTGCATAACTATTGCACACTATTGCATAAACGATGACTCGATTTTAAGTCCATTGGCACTTCTGGTTTAGTGCTGAACTATTGCACACTGCATATGGACCTTCG